ACTATAGACTAAGCTATAGTCCAGACTATAGAGTAAACTATAGTCCAAACTATAGACTAAACTATAGTCCAAACTATAGACTAAACTATAGACTAAACTATAGTCCAAACTATAGACTAAACTATAGTCCAAACTATAGACTAAACTATAGTCCAAACTATAGACTAAACTATAGTTCAAACTATAGACTAAACTATAGTCCAGACTATAGACTAATCTATAGACTAAGCTATAGTCCAGACTATAGACTAAGCTATAGTCCAGACTATAGACTAAACTATAGTCCAGACTATAGACTGAACTATAGTCCAGACTATAGACTAAACTACAATCCAGACTATAGACTAAACTATAGTCCAGACTATAGACTAAACTATAGTCCAGACTATAGTCTCAACTAGCCTGGTCTGTAGGCTGTAGTCCACATCAAAGTCAACATTTTGTTCACCTAATTTTAAAATGACAGTAAAAAAAATCATGGCCTTATTGTCAATTAATAAAAAATATTAACATTTAAATATAAAAAAAAATATTTTTTTATTTTAAACTAAAAATATATTAACAAACCCTGTAAAAAAATAATTTAAAAAGCTCAAATTTTTGTAAAATGAAATAAAATAATAAAAAAAACATATTAACAAAAAACAAGCATGTCCGTCCCACTAATTTTATAATAAAAAATAAAAAATTACAAAAAAAAAACATAAAAATTTATTTTAAAAACTAATTTTAATTAACATTAATTTAAATTTAACTTAAATTTAATATATTTTTCTATGCTAAAAACTTCTTTGTATAGATTTTATGTTGTATTTAATGTAAATAATTTGTAAGCCAGTTTTTTTATGTTAATTTAGTTTAATTTTTTAAATTTATGCTAAAAAAGAAAACGAAATTTTAATTTTTAAAAATTTCTTTTAACAATTTCGAAATTTTAATTATTAAAAAACAAAAAAACCTTGTTGTGATAGCTTGTATTTTGTAAAATTTTTTTTGTGTAAACTACACTTTGCTTCTTTTCTTTTTAAACAATTTTTCTTAAGCAGTTGTTTTTTTGGTTTAATTTAAAAAAGTGTGGTTAGTTTTTAGTTAGCCAAGCTAAGTTTTTTTTTTTAACGTCTTCCTGGCAAAAGAAAGAAAGCTTAGCTAACTAAATATGGAAAGTAATGAAAGAAAGCATGAGATTTTTTAATTCTATTTTGTACAACTGCTTGTCAAGGCTTAAATATAAATTTATGTTTAATTTAATAATAATTTTATTTGTTTTAATGTGTTTTACTTTTATAAATACCGAAATAAAGTCGTATTTTTTAAATAAAGAAAAAATAATAAAAATTCAATGTTTTTTATTTAAAATTCAAAAAACAAACTAATTTTAAAAACAATATCAAGATTAAAGATATTTGTCAAGTTTAAATTATAACAGTCCTTAGATTTTTGTGCTATTGCTTAGCTAAGCTAACAACCCTTTATTTACTAATTTTAGGGTTATCATAACACTTTGAGTGCCTAGAAATAAATGCGTCAGAAATGTTTATTTACAAATATATTCGTAATATGTTTTAATAAAACAATTGTAAAATTTTGTTTTTATTATAAAATTATAATTAAATTACATTTGGATTCAAAAATTTAAATTAAAACGACTTAATTATCATAAACTCGTAAACACCCTGTTAATTTCTTTAAACAACCCTGTTTTTCCTAACAACAGCTGTTGTGCTATCACTTCCCCTGTGAGTGTTTAGATTTGAAAAAACAAGCATTTTTTTGTTTCTTCGCCGAAAAATTCAAATTGTTCATAATTTTTCTCAAAATTCACATAAAACTCCAAATTAATAATGAAATTATTGACAGAAAGTGAGTTTTTCCCAAAAAATTATAATTCTAAAACAAAATCAATCCATAATAAATGTTTATTTCGTGCAAACAGCTAATGCCGGCAAACTTTTGATCAAATGTGAGGACGAGGAAGAAGGTGAACCGCATCCCCATTGCGCTCATGGTCCCACTCTGTTGTTTTACTATGAGGACAAGAGTCCGCGTGAGGGTTATTATGCCTGTTCGGCATATAGAGATAAAAAATTGTGTTCATTTAATTTGCCGGCCAAGGAGTTGACAACGAAACATTTGAGTCGTGTGTACGATGTGTCCACTTTGCAGTTTAGGAATTTAAGGGAAAAGGTAAGTGGGAATGAAGTAGACAAAACTTTGAAAGTATAAAATAAAAAGGTATTCAGTTTTCACTAAAATGTTAACAAATTTGGAGTTTTTGGCCAAAAAAAATTTAAAATACAAATATTTCAGTTTCTCGATTCCACTTATGAGTCGCAAAAACATTATTGCTTAACCTGCAATGAACCGCTTAAAGAAAGTGATCTACAGCCACATCTAAAACATGAAGTCAAAAGAAATCTTGCCACTAGACTAATTAAGAATCCTACCACCTTTCTAACACCTTTGGATAATGACAAGGCCCAAGCTCAGTACTTTTTCGATGACAAAGCTTTGCAGTTTTTTGAGAATTGCTTCAATGATTTGAAAGTAACGTAAGTTTTTTTATAAAGAAAAGTTTGAAACTTTAATAATAACATACTTTCAATCCACTATAGAAAAGTTATATGCATTGGAGCTCCACGTTTACATGCCCATCTTCAGAATATGTGTTCGGCAAATATAAAAAGTTTTCTATTAGATTTTGATTATCGTTTTTATTACTTTTACAATGACCAGGAGTATGCCTGGTATAATATGTGCAACAATTACTTTTTTGACGAATTGCAAAAGCAAGAATTTTTCCGTTTTTTAAAATGTAAAAGGTAAGCTTAATCATAACTCCAGATTTTAATAAAATTATCAAAACTTTTTCTCCTTTTAACTTCTTAAAGCAACGATAGAATCCTGATATTTACGGATCCTCCTTTTGGTTGTCGTACCGAACCGGTAGCAGCCACTTTGCATAAACTCACCAAACTTTACAATCGCATCAATCAATTGCCCTATCAACCTTTACCCATATTCTGGATATTTCCCTATTTCTCAGCCCACTATATACAGCAGCAAATGCCCGCTTTACAAATGTCGGATTATAAAATTAATTATACCAACCACACCTCCTACACCGATATGGGCAATAAATCCCGTAAATTAGGTTCACCGGTACGTATTTTTACCAATGTACCCTTGCAGCTCTTAAAATTACCCATACAAGAACAATATAAATACTGTTCCAAATGTGAAAAATATACCGCTTTAGAGAACCGCCATTGTGAGAAATGTAACTCTTGTCCGTCCAAAAATGGTGCCACCTATAAGCATTGTGATCTTTGCGGTTTATGTGTTAAACCTTATTATGTTCACTGCAATAACTGTCGTCGTTGCACTCAGCTAGAGTCTCATAATTGTTTGGAGTATCAACAGAAACAAAAATGTTGGATTTGCCGTGAAGTGGGCCATACGGAGCACAAATGTTCGTATTGGCAAAAGAAAATGAAATGTAGTAATATATTTCCCCGCTATAGTTTAAATGCAAAAGAAACGGAAATTGTTTGTTTATTGTGTAAGGTCAAAGGGCACAATGAGCAAATGTGCGAAAGAAGAGATAAATATTTGAAAGAGTTTACCTTTATGAGTGAAACACAATTAATGGAAAAGATTTGAGGCAGGCTGATTTTAAAAAGGAAGACATTTTTCTTGGAAATATTTAATAGTTTTAAGTTTTAAATAAAAGTGTTGATTATATATTTTTTTACAGAATTTGGTGGTAATTGTGTAATGCTTTAAAGTAAAAGGAAAGCTTTAGGTAAGTAGTTCATAACACTTCAAAAGCAATCAAAATTTGTTATCAATAAAGGTTTTACAAACATGTATACATTTGCATGTATTGTCTAAAGTCTGGACTATAGTCTTATCTATAATTTGGGCTATTGTCCTGTCTACAGTTAGTCTGTAGTATGGTCTATATTGTTATCTATAGTCTGAAGTATGATATATAGTCAACTGGTCTGGATTATAGGCTTTTCAATTGTTTCTAGCCTCTTAAATAATGAAATTATATCTTAAATTACATTTAAACATCAAATATATCTTATTTTTTATTAAAAAATTTCAATAGATCTTGCATTTAATGGAATATTAGATCCATCAAAATTGAACTTTGGATTACAAATAAATAATAAAATTGATGCCATAACATTGTTTTTGTACATAGTAGATAATAAAATTGTTAAATAGCTAAAAAAGATAAATTGCATTTAACAATTGGAAAAATAGAAAAACAAACTTTTAAAACTTAAATAGAAGTGCCTCTTTTATGGGACATAAAACCACGTCCACCACCACTGCCTCCGCTGGAAGCCCCACTGCGAGAAGTAGAGGGCATTTGGTCGCTTTGATTAAAATCCCAGGAGGCATAATCACTATTTAGTATGGGTCAGCTTTTGCTCTGTTCAGGTTTGCTATTGTATTCGCCACCAGTAGTGTAATCGGCCTCTATTTCACGCAATTCGATTTTTTGCTCTTGCATGGCTTTCTAAAGAAATATAAAAAAATATACTTTAGTTAAAAGCTTATAAATTGTTTTATTATTATAACTAATCAATTACCTTAACACATTCCTGATAGACCTTGAATATGGGAGCACACATGCTATCATCGTTGTCACCTTTTAGAAATCTTTCAGAGAACCATAAATTGAAACATTCATCATATTTTCGCTTCAATTCATTACAATCATCACCCAAACTATTCATTTTGAAATTTCACAATGATTACTAATTGCTAGATTTAAAATTTCTGTGATAAATTCTAGTTTCTAGCCAAAAACTTGTAAATTTTCCAATAAAATAAATTTTTTTTCATCAGCTTTTCAACAACAACAAAATGGTAAACAGCTGTTTACTATTAGCACAGAGTTGTTATACAAGCAAAAACTAGGCATTACTGAAACATGCAAAAACTAGGCAGCACTTTTTCTTTTTCAACTGTCATTTACATATTTTGAGGTTATATTTTCTCTTAGTTATAAATTTTCCTCAATTGACATAACTCGGCACGCGAAATTGCATTTAGTTTTCTTTAAAATTTTGTGAAATTCTTTAAAAAGTTTAACTCAATAAATTAAAACATGAACAACTTAACCAAGGCTACTTTACGCTTCGTGGGCAACACCTCCTTAAAAAATGTTTTCGGTGGCAAACGCGATTTTACTCGCACTTTATGGCACATGTCCAAAACTCCAGAATATTCCGGTCAACAAAAGGGCAGTGTTTTGCAAGTGCATAATCCTACCTTGAACTGCAATTGCGGTTGTGGCATGAAGCGTATGCATACTAAAGGTAAGACCAGTAGAAATCATGAATGGAAAGAGTTTGTTGAAAGAAAACAGTAAACTTACATAACCTCAATTAGAAAAAGTGATGAAATAGAGTGCATTCTTAAGAAGCCGGCAAAGACTTGAATGATTTTGTTTTGTGCTTTTAGGTGAACGTGAATTGGTTGAATTTTTAACAGAGGAAATTTTGGCCGAACGTAAGGCCCAAAAAATCAAGACTGTACCCACCACATTGGAAGGTTTTGCTGTTAAATTGAACGGTGCCGAAGTTGAGCTGAGCAAACAAGCTGAAAAGGAAAAGTAAGTTGTTAATGGGAATAAGAATTTAAAATTTTATATTCTAGTCTATAGACTAGACTATAGACGAGACATTAGACTAGACTATAGAATAGACTAGACTTTAGAATAGTCTAGAACATAAGCTAGACTATAGCGTAGACTGTAGAAGACTAGACAAAAAACTAGACTGTAGACAAAGTTTTAAATAAGAATTAAATTTTTCACAAAAAAATCGATTTTTCACTAAAAATTAAATTTTTTTCTAAAAATTTGATTTTTTCTTTAAAAATTTTTTTTTTTTTAAATTTGATTTTTCCTTAAAAAATAATTTTTTTTCTAAAAATTTGATTTTTCCTTAAAAAATATTTTTTTTTCTAAAAATTTGATTTTTCCTTCAAAAATATTTTTTTCTAAAAAATGCATTTTTCACTAAAAATTCAATTCTTTCCGCTTTCCAGAATTGTCATTAATTTCAATGTAAACCATACCGTTGATACTGAAGAAGAACCCGAAATTGATCCCAATGCCGACAAACCCGATTTGGGTGAAATGCGCAGCAAACCTCAATTTGAAGTTGATATCGTTAGAGGTTCTACCACCCTATCCTTCACCTGTTCCTTCTTGCAAGGTACTCCCCAAGAAGGAGAATACAGTAAGTTTTATAATAAAAAAAAAAAACTTATAAAAAACATAATTTTTAAATAATTTGTTTAACACTTACAGATGACATCTTTGGCATTGACGAAATGACCATTTACCAAGGTGAATGGAACGACAAAGTCTATGCTGTAGCTGGTGATGTTTTGGATGGCGTAAGTTTTTTTTTTATTGTTATGATGATTTGTAATGATAATTTATTTTCTATATTTTTATTTTAGTACCTTTACGATTTGTTAATGAACTTGTTGGAAGAGAAGGGTGTCAGCAATGAATTTGTTGAAAAGCTGTCCGATTTAGCTACTGCCTATGAACATTCTTCCTACATTGGTTTGTTGGAAAGTCTCTCGAAATTCACCACCGGAAAGTAATTTACACTTTCTTCCTTCAGTTTTTAATTTCTGTTATAACTACAAATAGTTTTTAAGTTTTAAACTAAATTTATTATTTTTTCTGCTTTTTAATTATTCTTATTTTATTTTTATTTCTTAACACTAGTTATGAACAAAAAATTGCCAAAGAAAGTAAGCTTGCTTTCAATCAAGACTCAAGATTTCTAATATAAACTACAATCAAGACTCAAGATTTCATTTTCAAGCAAGTTCAAGACTCAAGATTCCAAAAGACAAACTTTAACCACATTTTTATACCTCAAAAAAGGAATTTCTTGTAAGTTTTTTGTTATTTTTTAAAGAAATATCTTTATTTTTATATAATTGTAGTTATAGTTTGTTTTTATAATTGGTTTACAACTTTCTGCCAAACATTTTTGTTTATGACCATGTGTGTTCTTTTTTAAAGTGAATTTGTTGAAAAGTTATTTTTACTTTATTTCACTTTTACAAAATAACTTTATTAACTTCCTTTATAAAATATATATACTGTTTTAAGAATATATGGTTACAAAAATTGTTACGAAGTAATAATTCAAACAAAGGATGATTTTCAAAAAGAAATAAATGTATTATTAAAAAACCATAATGTGGAAAGAACTCCGATCAAGTCCAGTGATTCCGGGATAAATGAACTAAATCTGAAAGTTCCAAAAAATTGTTCATTAAGGCTATAGTGAAGACTAGTAGTTCTCGACGAAAGTCTGAAACTGATCTATAACTGAACTAGAACTATATTAAATTTATACTTCAATGTATAGCTGGAACTAGATATTGAACTAGGATTGTTCTAACTAGAGACTTATATCTAAAACTGAACTAGAAGAACTATGAACTGATGTTCTACTAAACTGAATAGAACTGACTAAACTGAACGAAATAACTTAAATTAGAACTGACTAGAATAACTAGAACTGAACTAGAACTAACTAGAACTGAATTAGAACTGAACTAGAACTGAACTGACCAAACTAAAACTCGAAATGAACTAAGACTGAACTAGAACTGAAACTGAACTAGAACTGAACAGACCTGAACTAGAACTAACTAGAACTGAACTATGACTACTGAACTACTGAACTAAACGAACTAGAAGAACTGAACTAGAGAACTAAACTGAACTAGAAGACAAACTGAACTGAACTGAACTAGAACTGAACTAGAACTGAACTAGAACTGAACTAGAACTGAACTAGAACTGAACTAGAACTGAACTAGAACTGAACTAGAACTGAACTAGAACTGAACTAGAACTGAACTAGAACTGAACTAGAACTGAACTAGAACTGAACTAGAACTGAACTAGAACTGAACTAGAACTGAACTAGAACTGAACTAGAACTGAACTAGAACTGAACTAGAACTGAACTAGAACTGAACTAGAACTGAACTAGAACTGAACTAGAACTGAACTAGAACTGAACTAGAACTGAACTAGAACTGAACTAGAACTGAAATAGAACTGAACTAGAACTGAACTAGAACTGAACTAGAACTGAACTAGAACTGAACTAGAACTGAACTAGAACTGAACTAGAACTGAACTAGAACTGAACTAGAACTGAACTAGAACTGAACTAGAACTGAACTAGAACTGAACTAGAACTGAACTAGAACTGAACTAGAACTGAACTAGAACTGAACTAGAACTGAACTAACTGAACTAGAACTGAACTAGACTGAACTAGAACTGAACTAGAACTGAACTAGAACTGAACTAGAACTGAACTAGAACTGAAACTAGAAATGAAACTAGAACTGAACTAGAACTGAACTAGAACTGAACTAGAACTGAACTAGAACTGAACTACTAGAACTTGAACTAGAACTGACTAGAACTGAACTAGAACTGAACTAGAACTGAACTAGAACTGAACTAGAACTGAACTAGAACTGAACTAGAACTGAACTAGAACTGAACTTAGAACTGAACTAGAACTGAACTAGAACTGAACTAGAACTGAACTAGAACTGAACTAGAACTGAACTAGAACTGAACTAGAACTGAACTAGAACTGAACTAGAACTGAACTAGAACTGAACTAGAACTGAACTAGAACTGAACTAGAACTGAACTAGAACTGAACTAGAACTGAACTAGAACTGAACTAGAACTGAACTAGAACTGAACTAGAACTGAACTAGAACTGAACTAGAACTGAACTAGAACTGAACTAGAACTGAACTAGAACTGAACTGGAACTGAACTAGAACTGAACTAGAACTGAACTAGAACTGAACTAGAACTGAACTAGAACTGAACTAGAACTGAACTAGAACTGAACTAGAACTGAACTATAACTGAACTAGAACTGAACTAGAACTGAACTAGAACTGAACTAGAACTGAACTAGAACTGAACTAGAACTGAACTAGAACTGAACTAGAACTGAACTAGAACTGAACTAGAACTGAACTAGAACTGAACTAGAACTGAACTAGAACTGAACTAGAACTGAACTAGAACTGAACTAGAACTGAACTAGAACTGAACTAGAACTGAACTAGAACTGAACAAGAACTGAACTAGAACTAGAACTGAACTAGAACTGAACTAGAACTGAAGAACTGAACTAGAACTGAACTAGAACTGAACTAGAACTGAACAAGAACTGAACTAGAACTAGAACTGAACTAGAACTGAACTAGAACTAGAACTGAACTAGAACTGAACTAGAACTGAACTGAACTAGAACTGAACTAGAACTGAACTAGAACTGAACTAGAACTGAACTAGAACTGACTGAGAACTGAACTAGAACTGAACTAGAACTGAAACTAGAACTGAACTAGAACTGAACTAGAACTGAACTAGAACTGAACTAGAACTGAACTAGAACTAGACTGACTAGAACTGAACTAGAACTGAACTATAACTGAACTAGAACTGAACTACAACTGAACTACAACTGAACTAGAACTGAACTAGAACTGAACTAGAACTGAACTAGAACTGAACTAGACCTGAACTAGAACTGAACTAGAACTGAACTAAAACTAACTACAAGTGAACTGAATTTACTAAAAGCGAAATAGTATTTAACTAGAACCCCACATTAAAGAGATTAAATTTTCTCCGTTTATTTTTCAAAATTAAAAAAAAACTGGCAACTTTGTTTAAAAAACTGTGTGGCATCTCTCATAAAAATAGCAACTCTATAAAATTTCACCACCATTTAGTAATTCACCTTAAAATCTATAAATAGAATTTTATTAGAATTACACACCACTAAAACTTGTTGTTGTATTCTGAATATACACATTTTGAAAACAAGCATAGTGTCAAAGATTTAACGAATGCCACAATGGCATAATCGGTTAGAACGCATATGATAGTGAAATTAGGCTGGTGGGTTTTGTTGGATATAGGTCCCCTGGGTTCGCTTCCTGGTTCAGAATACCCTCCCGAGTGGGTTTAACTTTCCCGTTGTCTCTTTGCATTTCTCAATTTCCTTCTTAGTTTGGCAAGAGTTTTTAGAAAATCCGTTACGATTGAAAACTCTAATCAAAGAAGGTAGATCAAATCGTTCGCTCGTTGCCGTACCTGCAATGGTCCTCTCAATGACTATCCATCAGGTCCCGTAAAAACTATACGAGTGCGTACAATTTATTTTGGCTAAGAGTAGAAAAAAGATAAAAGGGAAGAAAATATGTAGAACAGATAATTTGAACCTATAATTCTGATAGCACTTTCTGAATTTTTCAGTAAAACTTGCTGGAAAGAGAAAAGGGCATATAACTAGTACCGTGATCGGTTATAGTTGTATTCTTAACTTATTATATGTTGAAAATTAGATCAAAAGAGATTGATTATAAATGAAATTGAACTTGAACAGTGCTAGAACAAAACTAGAGTTGATCACGTAATAGATCAAGAATAACCGAAAGACAAATGTTATTTGTAACACTATTCTAATTAAAATTATATAAAATTAAGAATGTTCTTTAAAACTCTGCTGCCTTTTTAGGTCAAATGTTTATGGAATATTAATGAGATTGATTTTCGATAATCACCACTCTTTAAGCACAATTTAAAAGTAAAATTTAAAACATAGATTTCCAAAACAATCTATAGTTTAAGTACGACTTCTTTAATTTTACAAAAACATGTCAAGAAACTTTCAGCATAATAGATTTTTTTCTATTTTTATCTAATTTAAATTCCGCTCACGCATTTGCTTTAGAAAACGTTCTAACAAAACATGAGTTCATAGAATAAATTACGTTTTACAAAATGCCATTATACTCAGTTTTTAATGTTTTTTTATCATATTTTTATTTGCAAATTATTTATGTGACATCATGCTAAAATTTCTAACAATTATTTAAAGGCCTAAAGGGTTCTCCAGACATATACATATTTATGTATAATTTACAAAAATAAAATAATTTGTTTATTTTCTTAACATTAATTATAATAATTTGTGTTAGAAAAAAAGGCTGGTCATTTTGTTATTAAAAAAATCATGACTTTTTTTGTGTTTATTTTTTTCAAACATAAAAATGTAATTAGAACTAAACAAATTGAAAAATTATATAGAAAAATCTTACTTAATGTCAAATCATTATTAAAAAAAACAATTTTGTTGAATTGTTTGTAACTGGCCAAGAGTTTTTCAAACGATATTTATGGGTACTAGGTATTAATGACTTTTTAAATTGATGCTTTTTATTGAGAAAAAAGATTTATTGCAAATAAACACATAGATTTTATAGTGAGAAAATTTAATAGTGTGTACTTACTAAATCATAAAAGTTTATTAAATATTATGATAATGAATACAAATATTTATGGTGTGACTAAGCAATTTAATTAAATAATAATAAAATTTAAAATTAAATAATAACAAATCATAAATTCCCAATAAACCGTACCAAAATCATATTTTCTAATTAACTATCAATGTAAATCTTGTATATGTTATAGGTTTTGCAAATCTACTTCATATGTACTTGAAGTGAACTAGAACAGAACTGGAACAGAATAAGAACAGCACTAGAACAGCACTAGAGCAAATCTAGAACAGAACTAGAACAGAACTATAACAGAACTAAACAGAACTAAAACAGAACTAAAACAGAACTAGAACAGAACTAGAACAGAACTAGAACAGAACTAGAAGAGAACTAGAACAGAACAGAACTAGAACAGAACTAGAACAGAACTAGAACAGAATAGAACTAGAAACAGAACTAGAACAGAACTAGAACAGAACTAGAACAGAACTAGAACAGAACCTAGAACAGAACTAGACGAACTAGAACAGAACTAGAACAGAACTAGAACAGAACTAGAACAGAACTAGAACAGAACTAGAACAGAACTAGAACAGAACTAGAACAGAACTAGAACAGAACTAGAACAGAACTAGAACAGAACTAGAACAGAACTAGAACAGAACTAGAACAGAACTAGAACAGAACTAGAACAGAACTAGAACAGACAGAACAGAACAGAACTAGAACAGAACTAGAACAGAACAGAACAGAACTAGAACAGAAACTAGAACAGAACTAGAACAGAACTAGAACAGAACTAGAACAGAACTAGAACAGAACTAGAA